ATTTTATTTTCCTCCCCTTTGAAAATATTGACTGTGGAAGAATGTCATGTCAAAGATGGATATTTTAGTGAGAGGGTGTATTTTTTTTCTTCCCCACTCCTTCTTCGGATAGTGCCCAAACTTTTTTCTACATCTTCTTTAATTACTTTCCAAACTGAAGTCCCGTAAAGCATTACAGTTCTGAAATCTAGCTTCCACCTGCCCCCCCCCAAAAAAAATAGAAAGCTCTTTTCTTTGCCTGTGCAAACACAATTAAAATTTTGTCCTTTTAGAAATCTCTAATTTTCGTCTATAGTTCACTCTTAAAAAAAAAAATTTCTTCTGTATTCTTTCCTCTAATTTATCTTATCTTTCTTTTTCTTTTCTCCTAGTTCTCCTTGGAATTTTCTACCATCTGTAGCAATGTGTACATAGTGATTCATCTTTAGAGAATAGAAAAGGCATCAGCTGTAGGTATAGATATCTTCCTTGGCAATGGGGAAATCCGTGTGAGAGAAATGGGAATGAAAACAGGTAAAAAACCCTGTTCTCCTTACTCATGTAAGTAGTTCCATTAATTCAATGGGATTACTTGTCTGGGTAGAGCAAACAGGATCGGACCCTATCAGTTATATTAAATGAATCCAGTTAGTTTGATAGTTGAATTTACTGGAGACTGGATTTCTATGTTTTACTGAAGTCCTTTTTTAGTTCAGAAGAAGTAAAATACTTGAATACTTTCCATATATGTTAAAAATTGAAGGTTATCTCCTTAGGCTGCACGATGCAATACCAGCCATAATACACGGCAGGGTTTTGCCTTCCCCCCCTCCTTGATCTGCTGTTTTCCAATTGCCTCTTAAAGTTACTAATCAGCTAGCTTTGAAGGAGACTACACATGTCAGAGGAGCAGGGCTTGCTTATCAGAGTTGAGGAACTCGTGCTGAATGTGCCTGACGGTGCTGTGTGCCTCTGTGGCACTGTGACTTCGGTAGGAGCTGGCGGTGTTCAGGGTTTGTAGCAAGTGCTCGCCGCCTGTCGGGACTGGCTCCACATGGAGCCCTTTTACAAACACGGCTTCAATGTTTTTCTTACGCAGCTTCACTCCTAATGCTGCTTTGTTGTTTTAGGTTACCGTCCTATTCCAACAGACCCTTACCTGGGAGGGAATTCACCCTTGCCACCCCCTGTAAGTGACAGGATGAGAAAGAGACGGGCTTTTGCTGATAAAGAGTTGGAGAACATTATGCTAGAGAGAGAGTATAAAGAGAGAGAGATGATGGAAGCTACACAAGCAGCTGCCCTTTTCCTCCCTAACCGCATGGTGCATGGAGCTGAATACAACCCGTATAAAACAGCCTTCAACACTACTCAAGTTGATACTCCGAACAAGGAGTTTTGCAATTTTTTACCAACCTGCCTTGATCTAACCATGCAGTATTCAGGATCCAGCAACATGGAACTAATTTCTTCAAATGTCAGTGTAGCTACTACCTACAGGCAATATCCCCTGTCCTCTAGGTTCTTAGTGTGGCCAAAATGTGGCCCCATTAGCGATGCTCTCCTCTACCAGCAATGCCTGTTAAATGCTACTACTGTCCAAGCTCTCAAACCTGGGGCAGGTTGGGATGCCAAGGTCTCACAAAGTCAGGACTGTCCGAACACTGAGCATGACATCATGTCTCCAAAACTGGAAAATTCACTCGTTCTGTCCCATACACAAGATATTCAGCAGCCAGGTAATGAGATACCGTGTCTTCCTCAGGAAGCTCGTGAGAGGTCAGCTTTCTCTCCTCCAAAAAGGACTTTCTCTCAGATTTCTGAGAAGGATTCTCTGGCTCCTCAGGAACAGATACTAAGCAAGATCAGCAAAGACAGTACCAAGCCCTCTCCACCGCCCAAATACAATCCATTTCAGTCACTGTTCCAGCAAACATTTCCTGACAGATCAGGAGCAGAGTTGAGAACATCATTTGTCAAAGAGACTTTTGAAGATGCTTCTAAGAAATACAGAGATTGTGCCATTAAAGAGAACCAAAAGTACAAGTTCACAATAGAAAAATCAGCAAAAGACTTCTTTGGGGCCAAACAGGCCACAACAAAACTTTCAACAGCTGAGCCACTGTCATTTTCAGTTGAATCCATCCTTAAACGACCTTCTTCTGCAGTTGCTAATGTCTCTCAATGAATAAACTATACATTCAGTGTGTAGCATTTGTATGCTTTGCCTTCTGCAGAGTTGCTACTGCTTGCCTTTCTCTTAAAAGATTTGTAAAGAGGACTTTCTGCTGTAAATGGTAATTCTTTCTTTTATAATCAAAATGATGTACATAAATATGCATGTTTTCTTTTCTGAAAAAAAAATAATTTAATTTTTTAAAATTGAAACTGCATGTACAGACTGTAAAGTGTTGTTATTTCAAGCAGCACTTCAAACCATTCAATAAAATGAGATTACCTGCAAGCATAGAGGTAGTCCCAATCTCTCTTTTGTCTCCAGTATCTGACAGGCAAGTATGCCCTACTTTCAGAATAAACTTATTATTTTATCTGCCATTATCAGTGTACTTACTAGTTACCTTGGTCTGGTAAGTGGGCATTTCTACTTTGAACCCCCACAGAAGAGGTAACTACGGTGCATGTAGGCTTGTGTGAATTTTCAAGACTTTTTTTATTAAGTGAGGTTTAGATTGGATTCCAAATGCTTTTCTTCTTTTGAAGGGGGAGTGCATGCCAGCCAAAAAGACTGGTTTGTTCCATACCTCTTTATAAAAGCTTCTGTTCCCAAAGCAGAAGAGTTTGCTAGATTGTATTTGAAGAGAACGGCTCTGGTGAGCTTTTGGATAAAAGGTCAGCATTTTTTTTAAATTCAGTTTTTGAATAAAAAGTCTGCCTATTTTTCTTTCTGTTTTTTTTTTTTTTCTTCTTTTTTTTTTAATGTTCAGCTGACGTTAGTCTGGATTTCCACCCCCTAGAATATTTCCTTTCTGAAAGCATTTCATCTTTGATCAGTAAGAGCTTGAGATTCTTGTGTTATGGTAATTGAAATGACCTTCAGGCTGTAAAAATGATGCGCAGAGTCATCACCGCTGATGAAAAACCAAGACATGATCTCTCAGTTATGTAATTCTATGCCCTTTTGCGGGGACAGCAGAATTAAAGGAGATTAACCAGTAGAATTTACCTGGGAACCTGAAATGCCCTCAAGGTTATAGAAAAAGGCATTACCAGCTCTCGTTATGACTGAGCTTGAAGCTTTCTAAATCCGTGGTTTTGTAAGTATTTCCCTATATGTTACTGCTAGCACATCTAGTGCTAACTGGTAATCCCTTGGTTACCGTCCTCGCTTAACATTTTTATCCTGCAGACAGTGCTCAGCCAGATGAAAGGAGCTGTGGTTTGTTCTTAATTTTTGTTATTTTATACGGACAATTCCTGTTTGGTATTTGTGAGCAGAATGTAATATTTTCTGATTTTGTTATGCTCACTGCACAGGTGAAAATGCTTATTTTGCTATGAATAAATCTGAGCTGTGAATTTCTGATTCTGTAAGTATCTCTGAAAGAGGTTAGTGTTTCCATTAGGAGCAGTGTTGCTGAATATCAGGACCCTTTTTGTGGATGGGAGGAGTCATCTGTTGTGGGTGCTTTTCTAAGCCACTCTGTTAAAGCAACAAACACATGGGAGAAAACAAGTTTTACATAATGTGTGACTTTTTACGTAACACATCTTACAAAGCACATAAAAATTTTATATCGGGAATGTAAACAAATTTGTTGTAATTTAAAAGGATCATGGGCACTAGCTAAAGTTTCTCTTTTCAAAAGCATCTATACTAACTAGATTTTGCCTAGCCGAAAATACATTTCAAATGCAGCGAGATGCTTTTCATTTTTTCAAACTCTGTCCTTTATCCAGTTGCCATTAGAGGGAGTTTTAACTTAGTTGAGAGCTGAATCTGCTTGTTAATCAGTCTAGCAGTGAGACCAAGCTAGGCGGCTTTTACCCGGAGTAAATGGAATGAAATTCTTCACATTTCATATTTGTTTGCTTTCACCACAGCTTCCTCCTTTGGCTTAGTTGAACATTAAATGCTAACAAGGGGTTTTAATTTAAGCAGGGTTTCCTTTGTTATTAAAAATATGATTTGTTTTGTTTTTCAAGCTGCTGGCATAAACTAGGATGACAGATGAAAGAGAGTTCAGCGATCTATGTAGTGAACCATTATTGGATACTGGAATTAGTCCTGCATAAATATTTTTTTGCCTGACAACGTGTGCATCTAACATTGTCCAATTTCATATCTGAAATATTTTTCTAGGAAGTCACTTGTCTTTATTCATCTCTTAAAAAAAGACCAGAAAGCCAAAACCCTCCAACAGACTGGTACCTTGTGACCTTTTAAAGAACCAGTTGAGCTGAACAAATTCAAACTCTGAAGACATACCAAACACTAGTATATACATACATACACACACTTACATACTAAGTATATTGCAGATAGTTTTGTTCAAATCCCATTCATCAGAAGAGGAGTGACATTTCTATCACTGAAAAAATGTGACCCTTGAGGTGAAATTTGGACAAATGGTTTGCTTCTCTTAAAAAATTAGTTTCACTGGAGTCAGCATCGGGCTGCCCTGCCTCGCTGTCACTTGCTCATGTCTTGCTTCAGTTCCACTAGCTATTTCATCCTGTACTTAGTTTCCTTTCATTTCATAGACCCTGGACCTTACCTTTCATGCGTCTTGAAAGCTTGTTGCACCCAGACTGTTTTTTCCTTTCCTTTGTTAAAAACGTATATAAAGTTTATTGTCCCTGGAGAGGGTGACTAGTAGCTTGAGCGAGATAGCATATACACAGACAGCGTGTGATTTTCCTCACACATCTTTGCAGCAGATGTATAGAACTCTTGCCTCTTCCAGCCATGCACTTCTCTAGAGCAGAAGTAGTGACTTGTCCGCATGTGCTGGTGTGGCCATGAAAATGCATGGAGAAGAGGAGAAGTCATTGCTCTGAAACTGTCCAGCGCTTGGTGCTAGGCAGTGTCTCCCTGGCAATAAGTCAGCTGGTAAAATATCCCATGCTCTGTGCTTCTTAAATACAATTTTTGTGGCATTTGTTGGGTGTGTGGATGCCTGTATCTTCTGCGCAGTGTGACAAGTTTTCTCCGAGTACAAGGTGAACCTTTGTGCTGTGCTTGTGAATGTCAGGTTGCATTTCGCTTCTGATCGCCTTCTGATCTCAGTTTTTCTTACGTGATGATGGAACACGCTTGTTGTGAAGTTCAGCTTTAGGGCTGGGACAGGGGGTCAAGCACCTGTTCTGGCTGTGGAGCACAAAATAGTTGTGGAAAGGAATACAAAGAACAGTTATTCACTTGGTCTGCAAAATATTAAGCCTGGCTGATAGTGTTGTCAGAGACAACCAACGGCTAGTTGGAAGTGAAGGCCTTCCATATGCATGCTGAGACAAAAATCTTTACAGGTGTACAGAGGTGTGTAAGTGTGCAGAAGTAGAGGAACTGGGAATAAGTAGTACCTCAGGGAGCGCCTGACTTACTACCTGGCATGGTGGCAAGGAGTGGGCGGTGGTGGGTTCACTTGGAGAAGGTTATGGACAGCTGCTGCAGTGACAGTGCTTGTCCCTCATGTGGCACAGGAGAATTGAGACAGGGGTTGTGGGGGGTTGGGGTGGGAGTCCCCGATCAATAGGAGTGAGTTGCTGGCTTTCTTTCAGGTGCTGGCTTCCTGGAGGTGACTGCACCAGCGCTGCTGGCCTGCCACAAAGCCTGCCTTAAAACTGCCATTTGTCTTTGACAGCTTTGAATCGTCATGTCAAGCTGCTGGGGTTTAGGTCAAGGCAGAGAGTTTGGTGAGACGGCTGGATAGTCGGACAGCAGTCATTCAGCTGATGTCAGGACTGAAATCATCAGCTGAATGCATTTGCATTCTGGCCTGGCAGCAAGACTTAGCCCTGTGCTGTCCTTCTGCTATTACCAAGACCTCTCTGAGTTTTGTAGTCTGAGCTCCTCTTCTCCTTGGGATCATAAAAGCAAGTCAATTTTCGGCCAGCTGTGAAGGCACAAGTCCCAGTAGAGTTAATGGCTTTGAAGGCTGACCATTTATCAGCTCCCATTTGCTATTATTCTGTAATTACAG